TGGCTTTGTGGTGCTGGGCTGGGGTGGCTGGAGTTCCTGGGGTGGCTGCAGCTTTACACTGCAGCTCAGGAGCTTCTTGAAGCCCCAGAGCTGCGGGTGCCAAGAAGCCCCTGACCTGCAGTGCGGCAAGCAGCCCCAGAGCTGCACAGTTCTGGGGCTGCTTGCCATCCCACAAGGCAGGGTGCAGGGCGGCCAAAAAGGCAGAGATGGGGAGGAGATAGGTGGGTGGGGGGAATTGAAGCTCACCTACAGTTGTAAATGTGGGTGGGCTGCCAAGCATGCAAATATCAATCATGTGACTGCAGGGGTGCTGCATTGGCTGTAACTCTGGGCACCAGTCATAAGTCAATTTTTTCACCATGTTCATAATTTCAATCGCTGACCAACTGGTCATAAGTCAAGGACTACCTGTATTAAATTAACTTAAGCAGATTCAAGAATGCCTGCAATTTTGTTGTTGATGTTATATGCACGTTTGGGTGGTATGTTTGGGATACGGCCTTTGTCTTTCGGCCAGGGAGCAGAATGTTGAATGTTGCCCTGAGCAGTAACGCTCTAGCATAACCGAAGTGCTAAGTTAGATGTAGAGGTGGCAATCCACTTGATGCCCTGTAGGTCAGAAGATGGTTTAATAAAACATCTGTGAGACCCTACCTCTTTGAGCATACACGCATCAAATGCCTAATCATTCTGGATCAGCTGATAAGTACCTGTTAATCCAGCACCAGACAACTGAAGTAAACAGGAAACAGCTATTTCGAACTGCATATCTTTCACCATAGGGTTCCACTTCTTGCCTTTTTTCCTTTTTACAGTTGAGAACAAAAAATAAAACTCTAATGTCCTAATTTGGCTTGGAGCCACCACCATGGACAGACTGGGAGTAATCTTGGATATGAATTGCGTATTATCCCAGGTTCTGAGTCCTCATGATAAACAAGTTCTTTAAATGTGTGTGATTTAGTCTGTCGTGCAAATACTTCTTTTGAATTAGAACTCCTTTGATGGCATGCATGGTCTTTAACCAAGTAGTCTGTCATAAATGTTACCTGTTGAATTAAAGTTGATATAGTTACATGTTATATTGTTTATTTGCTAAATTTAAATTTATATTTATGGGGTTTTTTTAGAGATCTAAAAATAGTTTGCATGCTATGTATGTATTTTGGATAGAACTGGAGCTTTTTGTCACTACAAATGGGAATTTATTTATTTATTTAACATATTTCTATGCCACTGCAATCAAAATGAGTCTCGGTGGCTTAAATTCTTATGTATTATCTGTGTATTTCACTGTTAAGTTGTACTGGAATGTTAGAGGTCTACAGACGAGTCATACTGTTTGGCAACCTTTGAACATTTATTGCCTGTGTACCACTCTGACCCCAATTTGTTTTATGACTGCTAATAAATTCTTAGTTGGGCCCTTCCTCCGTTCTATATCCTGTTAGAGAAAAATAAATGTTACACTGAGAAAGTAAGATTATACTTTCTTTCTGTCCACCAACTTGAAGTTTTTCACTACAGTTCTTGTTAACGACTTTAGCCATAATATGGATAAGGCAAGTAGAACAAATCCTCCTTTCAGCCTTTAGAAACTAGAGATAAAATACCAGTTTCAAATGTGGATAACACAGAATAGTTTACTAAAAGCAACTGCCTAGTTCTTAGTCACATGTGATGCAGCCTAGAAATAACGCAGTCCAAATGGCACACATCTGAAATTCTCACAGGCCTCGTGACAAAAGCATTAAAAATCTGGTATCAGAATGAAATTGAATTCCAGTGGAAGTGCTGTGTACCACATCTTCTTCATGGTATAAACTAGAGATTTTCAAACTTTCTTGGTTTACGATGCCCTTAGAGACTCAGTAATTTCTTCACGGTACCCCTAGTCTGTGCAGTGTCCAACAGACATCAAGTATTGCTGTTTCCCTCAGAAGCTGAGGTGCATAGTTGGGAACCGCAACTATAAACACTTGTCCCTGTAAAGTCAAATTCTTTGATATTAGTACTACAGCTGTGAAATACCACTATGCAGTGAGTTTTAATTCTGAGTAGACACAGGTGATCTGCACTTTAAGCAAGTCTGATTACAGCAGTGGGGGCCAGGGGATTGCATCTGGTTTGCATAGAAAGTGGCCAAGCCTGTCAAAACACTGTAAGAAAATCTCAGCAGCCCTTAGGAAGGCTTTCTCTGAAAAGTGTCTGTATTTTCCAATTGGTTGCAAAATGTAGCAGTTGGGCTGCTAAGGTGCAAGGTACAGGGATCATATCAGCCAGTACTGAAAGATCTGAACTGGTTGCCATTCAAAGTATTGATACTGGCCTTTCAAATCCTGAACAACATAAGGACCACTTTTTCTGTTATGGACATGCCTGGCTTACACAATGTATAAAGGGGGTCCTTTTCAAGATGCTCCCACTGACAGAGATCCCGCTATCACAAGGGAGAGGTCCCCCTGTGTTGTTTCCAGGGTATGAAATGTATTCTTTTGGAAGTTGTCCCTCTTGCCCCTTAGAAATATATATACAGTATATTAAACAACGTTTTGTTTTTTTCAATTTTGTTAGTCTCCTTGAGTGTTTGCCAGACCAGAAAGACAGAGTATAAATCAAATAAATATAAAAGTATGATGTGTCTGAAATAGTAGCACAAGGTTAGAGGTTGCTAAATAGAAATTAGGATCTGGTGCTGGTGTACTTCCACAGATGTGAGACATCAGTTACGGTTGTCTTCCTGAAACAAGACATGCTTGAGGAAGAGTACTGGTGGGCCTGAGTCTTCTGAATCTAAAGCCCTACGGTTCTCCCACCAGGCACAAGAGATCTGTCCCTCAACTATGCCAGGCTGGAACTGATGTAGATAATTTCCCTCCTATTGTCACCAATGAGAATTTCAGGAAAATTCTATTATACCAGGGGAAAAAAAGTAGGAGTTGGCAAGGGATTAGATATAATAGATCATATATTATGATCTCACTTAAGGATTGTTTGGGTTAGTTCTCTCATAACATTCATGCAGCTCCAGGTAGCTTCCATTTGGCAGTTTTAAAGCTGACATTCTGGAAATGACCAACAGATTCTGGTTTAACCCCAGACTGGACGGAAGTACATCCAAAGCAACCTGGTCATAAGCTATGGCTCTGATTCTCCCCATATCTTTTACAGAAGCAGATATGCAGCATGCTGGTGACAGAATGTTCCAGAAAACACCAGGATGTTCTATTTTCTTCTGGCCTATTCCAAAAGAAAAAGGGAAACCCCCAATATTCCCCAGAATGTTCTCTCCCCAGAATGGTGAGTTTTGCCCTCAAATGTTCCATATAGTACACTTTCCCTTATAATTGTAAGAAAAAAAACAATGTTGCTAATAAAGACAGTTTTTTTTTTAAATGGGTCTGAATAACATAGAATTAAAATAACTGAGAAAAAAACTGGTTTGCAAAACAGTCTTTTATTGTATCCGTGCCACACATACTAGTGAAAAATAACACTCCTAAAAAAAAAAGAATGCTACCTTTTCCACAACATTTTGTTTTAAATGAAACTTCAAGTACTCTTACATAGGTACAAAAAAAAAAATCTGATCTATCTGCCTCCAACAGGCCACCACAACACACAGTAGGTAAAACACAGTGGTTACAAATTTTTTTTGTTTTGTTTTTTTCTTTTTTGTTGTTTCTGTGGCAAGGCAAATGGAGGGAAATGTTTTTATGAAAAAATACTGTGTGCGTAAGAAATTGTCACATTTTTATTCCACATGGATACAAATGATTATACTCGAATTTGAGGCCCTGGTGGCTTGAAATTATATAACAAAATAGAAAAATGGAAAACTAATATCCCCTACACCCTGTTTTAAAGGCAGGCACTACAAAGATTAAGGAGACTCCACAGTGTTGGTAGAGGATACTTACTGTACAAGCCATATAGCTGTAATTACCTTAAAACTAAAATAAAATGCTACAGTCCTTTCTAAGGCATAAACAATAATGTCTGCAAACAATATGTACACATCATACATATTTAAAACAAGACTTAATATAAACAATAATGAACAGTATATACATATGTTTCATTTTTTTCTTCACTGTTTTGAAATACAATTTAACTACACAAGTGATGCAGCAACATATATATAAATGTACTTGTAACTCTACAGTAAAGTTTAATTTTTTCGTGCTTTTACAGCACATCAGTGTAAACAGTTTTACTTGGCTTTGTTTTGTTTTTTTTTAATTTTAAAACATTCCTTGTTGTATTTTCAACATTTAAAGCAATTTTTTTTTTAATTCTTCCTTTTCACAGAAAACGAAGAGTCTGGATGCTATTTAATCATAAATAATTCATAAAATTAAATACATTTACTAAAAATAAACTACAAAGTAAAAAAAATGAAAAATAGATATTTATTGAAAGGGGAAATACAACTTTTTTCCCCAACTAGAGCTCTGGTGGTTGAATATTCAGTGCGTTTTGATATATTTTAAATTGCTATTGCACTATTACACCCCTTATGTTTAAATTCTTTGGGTGTGCTTCCCTGTTCTACCTAAAATAGTTTGATAAAACACACAAACCAAGAACCAAGGGCCATGGTTGCTGTAGGAGTGAAACCTTAAGAATTAGCACTACTCCCCGTGATACCTTAAGGAAAAATAAAACAGTCATTAGTTATGCATGTGCCTTGTACTTTAATGTAAATACACTTCACATTGCTGGTCTTATTTGTCCTCATTTAAGAAAAGAAAACATGCTGGACTGTGATCACTTCAGCTCACTTTGAAAATCTCTGTCCATTTTTTTTCAAAATGTTTTCTCATGTTGTGGCCAGCCCGACCAATGTCAGAATCATCTTCATTAAATGTTTCACAGTTGTCAAACACAAGCCTGACATCTATAGCAAAAGCTTCAAGATTAGGATATCTGAAACAAACAAACAAAAAAAAAAAAAAACAGCAGTGTTCTTTACACGTGGAGTTAAAGCAGAAAAATAAAACTCCTGCCAAGGAGAAATAGGGTATTTTGTTTAAAATTGGACTGTGGTGTAAATCAGCAAATTCTACCAAAGTCAGTAGCCAACCATTATGTTTTTTCTGTAATATATTAGCAATAAAGTCTAATTTCAATACAGTACTATTGTAGCAGCAGTAACACACCTTCTAGAATAATTTGATCTTTGATTGATTTATTATATGCCATCAAGTCAGTGTCAACTCATAGCAACTAGACAGGCAAATCTTCTCCAGGTTGATCCGTCCTGATCTTATATAGAGTAATATTCATTTAAAAATGCCTCTGAGAGATTTGTCTCTCTCCCTGGTTCACGTTACTAGCATCTATTAGATGTAGCACAATTAAACAAATGAAAAATACAAGCTCACTGCATTTCAACAACTGTGAAAACTATTCATTGCTACAAAAGTAACCAGAGAAAATTTTTGCTGCAATTCAGTGCACATTTATTGGAGTCAGTCCCACTGAAGACCATGAGACTGACTTCTAAACAAACGCTCATAAGAAAACTTAAGGGCTGCTGGGGAATGGAAGGGAGTACATAAATAAATATTACATGATTTAAAATAAATTAAAACTTAATTTATTTTGAAAGGAAATAAAACCCTGCATAAATCCCTACGTACACAGTACCTCCATCAGGGCATGCTTGTGAAGGCATTCCTTCCAGCCCAATTTCTGGTGTTTCAATTGTGTTTCGGATTGCTTTCACTCCCCATACCAATATGTACTTCCCTTTTTAGATCCAATTACAGAGGCACCAAACCCCTGCTTATTAGTATCTCATTACTGGTATTATAATCTGAAACCAGAAGGAGTACAGTCTTTTTGGGAGTCTGTTTTAATCCACCAGCAGCAGGCTCCACCTACTGGTAGTTTTCATGAAACCAAAACCAGGCCACATATAACTTGATGCCCAGTTGTCCTTTGTTCAACTTTGTATCATAAAAGAAAAGATGGGTGAATTATTTTTGGGGGGGGTGGGGGTGCTTTCTTGACTTCACCTACCTGCATCTGTGCTCAAATTCAGCATTTAATTTCAACATGAAACCAAGGCATTATTGCTATTTCTAATCAATCTTTCCTCCCTCCCATCAAAGAAGTTTAAAGCCTTTCTAGGCAGCTTCTAATGTCCTGGTGTTTGTGTATGATTGTTTATTATTGATCTTCCTTTACATATCCCTCCCGGAAGACTTTTCAGAAGGGCTACTGTACTGCTGGCCTAGCATGATGCCACCAAATGTGCAACCACACTCAGAAGGGCCTCTGCGTGAAAATCTGTTGCTCTGCCACCAGGCTGCCATGCCACTATAACTGCAGTTCTGCAAAAAAGGCTTCTGAATGAAGATGTATGACCACAATGCTGTGTAACTGCTGTAGCCAGATGTATTTGTTTCTGTATACAGGCATGCCCCTGTATTGTATTTTCATTTTTACCATCTTCCTTCATACCATCACTTTTTTGATTTGCAAATTGACAAATGGAGACTAATACAAGCTCAGACGTATAGGACGTAAAACTGCCAATGGCATTAAACACACTCAGCTATTGCTTAACTTGAAGGTGAACATGGACTGACACTCTTTGAAACTTCTAGCTCACAAAAATACTAAAATGTACATGATTTTAGAACTATGAATATTAGCATAAATCAGAAGAGACCAAAAAGAGAATGCAAAAGTATTCTGATTTCATTTAAATGTGAATTGTAAAAACAGGAAATACAGCATATGGTGATTTATAGTAATGGTTGCTACTTGGATTGCTAAATAAATTAACCTTGATTTTGAGTAACTAAATTCATGCAAGACAAGGCTTTCAATGGCTATATACTGCTTCAAATATTAATTATTTTATAGCATAAGTGGAAGGGTATTATTGAGTTCTTAACTCTCCTCTTTCCAGAGGCATTTACCTGACTACATGGGCTTTGATCTGACCCAGCAAACCTTTTTTAAAAAAATGCAAACACATACAATATAAGCACACACTTGTTGCCTCTTTTCCTCCTGCTGCTGGTCCTCCATTAAGCCCCAAGCACTTCCCCTTGCTCCTTCCAAAGCATATGCAAGCTTAATAATGTAACACAACGCACACATTCTGCACTTCTTCCATTAAGCCATTTTTCCTGACTCGGTGTAAATGTTCTTTGATGGTGGGCCTAAGATCTAATGCATAATTGGACAATTTTGAGTCCATGTCTGCCTTTCGGAGTCATTAACAGGGAATTTCCCTTTGTGAATTCACCTAACAAACTGATTTTTCCCACCTTAAAAAGCAGTTTTGCACCAGATCTCACATATCTTGCAACAGCTATTCCTGAACAGGTAAGAATAAATATTTCCACACCTGTGTGTGTGTGTATATACACACACGTACATACATGTATGTATGTATGTAGCATACTGTATGTATCACAGTGTGGATACTTGCAGAAGCTACTAAATGGGACCTAGCTCCTTCCTGGATAATTAGCCTGATAGATCATTCACACAGCCCAAGAAAGCAACAAAAGCCTCAATCTCCTTTGTAACTACTACTACATACTTACTCACCTTGCCAGCCCTGACTGTTCACCAGTTATGGTATTTTAGGACCTAAAAATATGAGATATCAGACTCTACCTGAATTTTAATTAATCAAAGTGGATTTAAACTTTCACTTTTCTTTTCTGTGGTTCCTCTGATTTTCACTTACTGTCCATTATTTAGCTTCTCTCGAATTGTAGAAAAATCCATGGGTTTTTTAATAACTTTCCTATAACCAGGAACATGTTTCAAATTTACAGGAAGTAGGAAAGGCCAGGCATCTTCATGAGTTTCCAATTCAGACAGGAGCACACTAACAACATTTAGAAAGAAAACCACAAGTCAGTTCTCAGCTATTTTGTACCTCACATTACACTATCTATAAAAAAAAGTCAAATGGCACAATAAAAAGTAACACAATTATTATGGGATTAACTACAACCCATCAGATAGAGAGAGGGATCTTTAGAAAACATATGGGATAGAGGAGAATAGTAAAAAACAAGATCAGAGGAAAATGATACTACAGAAGCTGTGTGTATTTTAGAGAGCAAAACAGCCACATGAGAAAGAGGCACTGAGTTCTGCGCAACTTTCTGCAATTTGCACCAAAACGTGTTTCTCCCAGTCAAGCTGTGACAACAGAAGGGAGACTAGTGGAGGACGCAAGTGCAGGAAAGAAGTGGCAGGAAGGTAGCAAGTGGGGCTTTCATTCCATTCATTTCTTTCCCTCTTAATCTGGGTCCTTCAGATCCTTCTTGGTATGTGATTAGGCCAGACTCCATTTTAAACAGCTGCTGTCAATTTGAGAACTTCGGTCTGTTTTCAGATAAAATTTAAAATTAATACAGCCAAGCAATACCTGCACAAAGCCAAGTCCTTGGATTCATCACGTTTTGTTTTCTTCGCAGGGGAGACACTTTCCTGTTTTGATGGACTAACAGAAATGCTGTCTTCAATTTTTCTCTTTTTGGACTCCATTTTCCCCCTCTTAACAGAGCTGCTTACAGATGCTGAGTCCTCTTCTTCCATCTCTACTGTTGGAGGGAATTTCTTGCTTTTCTTGTGTTCATTACTTTTCTTCCCTTTGATCTGATTTTTTTTTACTTTTAAAGTTTGACCACTTGCCTGTATGGGGGGGAAAAACACCAATAAATGAACACACAGCAGAACAAACACATATGTATCTCTGTTAGAAAACCAATTCCCTATGCATCACCATAGCTTTGTCAATGTTGCTTTCACAATATCAACTCTCCCAATTCAAAATTTCCAGGTACATGAAGTGCTGACCCTAGGTCCTGCTAAATTTAAGTCTGAGTCATAAGAGGGTTTATTAATACCACTCATCCCACTACTAGTGGGGGTAGGTCACATTTACTCCGAGAAGGCTATTCCAAAGTGTAGGTGCAACCACAAAAAAGTCATGCCTATGAACTTCTAACCACTACCCCTTTACATCACACATGTGGGGAACCACAAGCAGATTATCCCATGATGTTTCAGTTAGATGGATCAAAATTGAACAGAGAAGGTAATTCTGTAAGTATTCTGTTGCCAGGTCATGTAGGGCTTTAAAGGCCAATACCAACACTTTGATTTGCACTTGGAAGCTAATAGGAAACCAGTGCAGGGCCCAAAGGACAGGTATAATGTGCTCGTATCAGTACACTGGTTGATGCATTCTAGGCCAACTGAAGCTTCTATGCCATCTTCAAAGGCAGCCCCCATGAACACTGCAGTAGTCCTAACGAGAGGTGACAGGACATAAGTTACTGTCCTCTTGCTCTGGATAGGGCTGTAAGTAGCACACAGGATAAAACTGAGCAAAGCCTATTCTGTCTCTGGCCTTCATCTGCCCGTCTAGCAATAGCTGAGTCCAGCAGAACCCCCAAGTTGCAGACTGCTCCTTCACAGGCAGCCCCACCCTATCAAGAGACAACACTAGAGACATCAAAGAAGAACAAACAGTAGCTCTGTTTTGCTTGCACTCAACTTCAGCCTGTTTCTTCCCTTCCAGTTCCTCATAACCTCCATATACTGGGTGAAGATATTGACAGCTTTTCCTGTCTGGCCTGGGATAGCAATGTACAGCTGGGTATCATCAGGATATTGATACCATATCCCAAAATGACAAATGATGTCTCCCAGTGGCTTCATGTAAATGTTAAAAATTTTAACATACATCTTAAAGGGGTGAACCCTGCAGCACCCCCAAGTGAGCAACTGCTTGGCTAATCTTTCTTCACCCCCACCATTGACAGGAACTGCTCACTAAGGAAGGAACAGAACCACTGTGGGACCTTGTCACTGATCCCCAAACTTGTAGATGGTCCAGAAGTATACTATGGTTGATTGTATCAAAGGCTGCTAAGAGATCTAAAAGGACGAAGAGGGATGAACTACCCCACCCAGGTTATGACAAGGATTATCCACAAGAACAACCAATGTAGTCATTGTCCCATGCTTAGATCTGAAATTTGACTGAAAAGAGTTTAGGTAATTTGCTTCCTCTAGGATGCTTGGTAATTTTACCCCAACCCCAGTCTCAGTAACCTTCCTTGAAAAAGGGAAGTTAGAGACAGGGCAATAATTCTCAGATACTGATGGACTGGGAGGTGGAGGGGGCTCATCAGGAGGGCACCACAAGCTAGAGCCACTTCAAGGCTGCAACACCACTTCCTCCCAAACTGAGGCGTGAACCACCTCCCAAATCCAGTCTGTCATGCTCCCCACACACCCTGAAGGAGCAGGGGAGCACAGTGCACAAGTGTCCAGGAACAAACACCATCCATTTCACTGGAGTCCACAGGTCAGAAAGAGTTCCAGATAACATGTTATAGCATTGCCCCAGACACCCATGAGATTCAAGACTTGGATGAATCTTAACAACTTTATTGGCAAAGTGCTATGCTAACAGGTCATAGCAGCCAGGTAGGTCTACTTGTCGCCCTTTCCCTAAAAAAGGATTGGCCATCCTAAAGAGGGCTGTTGAATGATAGCCACAAACACAATAAGAGAGGAGAAGTAGTAATGCTTTTCCTCCCTTATAGTTATGATGTGGGCTCAAACTTGAAGTCGTGCTTGTTCACATACATTTTTCATTTTCCTCCACCAGTGCTCCAGGCATCTCTTCTGCTGTTTTATCTCCCGGTGGTCCTTGGTACATAAGGAGCCAACTGAGGCTAGCTGGCCTGGAGAGGCCCATGGAAGCAATCACATCAAGCAAACAGATTGCCTCCTGTTGCCAGCAGGAACCAAGGACTCAACAGAGTTGCTGCAAAGTCACTGGGAAAATCTTTAAATGCCCATAGAAAACCATCCAGACTCATAAAGTACCTGGAGAGGCCATCCTAATTCTAGCCCTTCATTAATACGTTTTTAAATAGCCATGCATTAGACTGGTTTTCCTAGTAAGAATAGCCTTTATTTAGATAAAGGTTTAGTAAGTCAGAGAGCTGGATTATCCTGTATGTCAGAGGCCTATGTGCGTAGTCAATACATTAACTTATTATTTGCAAACTACCATGTTTAGGTATAATAATTGCATGGCAGTTAGCGAGAAACTTTGAGGGAAAAAGTATCCAGATTTATCTCCAATTCAGATTACCTTTGCTATGCAGGCAGGACAAAACCAGTCACCATCTGGAATAGTACTGATCTTAGGCCTATGGCAGTACGTATGACAACCTTTATCACAGCCATCGCAGAGAAGCAGTAGTTCCTCATTATCTCCTTTTCGACATATTTGGCAGTACTAAAATACAGAGAAATTATTTCAGATAAATGTGTTATTTTCCACTGTAACATGATAACCAGCATGCTATGGGAGACTATAGCAACAATTTAAAATTATGCTCAATATCTGTTGTTATATGGACCATTCACATTTACAGCAGAAGCAGAGAAATAAAGAAATGATCAGTCAACTAAATATATATTCCTCCCGCCTCCTTAATTATATTAGATTTATAGATCTTATCTGAGCCAAAATTCTCCACCAACTCAATTAAGGAAAAATTGAGGAAGTATGAAGATTTTGTAATGTTCTTAAGGCATTTGAAAAATTGATTCCCAGTTATATTATTGTATTTGCAATTGTGCTAAGCTTGTGTTTCAACCTGTGATCATTTGGAGTTCAAATAAAAATATGATGGTCAACTAACACTATGTGGAGAAAGTATTAAATCAGGAATACAGGTGTGTGGATAATGCCAAATCTATGGGGCAGAAAAGCAGATAAGCACCACAGAATGTTGATATTTCAGTATCTGTTTTATTTGACATAAAATTGAAGTTGAAACAGAAGTCACAAGATCATGTGGTCAGCCACTGTGCACACAGGGCTTACCTCCTGATCTTTTACAGGGCAGATTTAGGGAACAGTGGGAATAACATGCCAACTTGGGGCAACATGGTGCTTTCTTTGCACAAAGGACATATAAGTTGTGTCCTTATGTTGAGCTTATTGCTTGCTGGTTAATAAGGGTGTAAATTTTGTGTGGACAGTCCAAGCCTGAGAGCTAAATAGGGGTCACAATTGTCATAAGACTTCATTTTTGAAGGCTATTAATGATAATCTACAATCTTCACTCCAAAATGTATTTGCTTTTATGACATAAGCAGTGCCTAAACTTTGGAAGGAGTTGCTTCATCCTCCAATTTTTAGTGGAGAAACACCATATAAAATGATAGTATTTCCAGTGTTAGTGGAAAATCATTCCAGTGCAAACAATATTAATAAAATATTGTAATATTGTGCTGTAAACATACCCATCACAGTAACAAGTGAAAAATAAGTTTGTAAGTTTGTAGCAAGTTGGAGAAAGAGATAGTTATTTCAAGAGTGACACACTCACTGTCTGTTAGTATTTTTTCCCCACTGATTACTATAGCATAAAAAGCTTTATTTTCAGAAATCTGATGCCCAGGATTCATGCAAAATCTCTTACATGCATTTGCATGCCATTTATGAATATGCAATTAACATAGCAGTGCTTGTTAATTTGTCATTTCTATGCAGAGATGGACATTTCAGCTTATATGCCTGTACAGCCGTCCAATCTGCAGATACAACTGTATTAAGTGGGCATGCAAAGAAGCCATGCACATCTTTAAGCATGTACTTTGCATCTCATCTTTCTGAAAAAGCCTTTAATT